CCAAACTCTAGTGCACCCAAACTCATAAAAACAACACTACAGTTCACTGAGACACAGGTTAACCCAAACTCAGTAATAGTAGGGGATTTAATACCCCACTGTGTCCTTTAAACAGGTCAATTGGACAAAGAATAAACAGAGAGACATCTGAATTAAACAATACCATACATCAAATGGACCTAACAGACATCTACAGAATATTTCACCCAAGCACCAAAGAATACACTTTCTATTCAGAAGTCTATGAAAGTGCCTCTAAAATTAAAACAAAGCTGAGAATGAAATCCTCATGTATAAATAACTGTATTTAGAAAGAAAGATCAAATAAGTAACTCTAAATAAATACATTAGGGACTACATTAAGGACAAATTAGTCCAAATCTATGATTAGGGCTTGAGCTTATGTTTAAAAATAAATAGAAAAATAAGTCAAAAAGTAGAATCAGCAAAACTAACAGTTGATTATTAAAAGATCAAAAATACTGAGAAAACTATATGCAAAAGAGCTCAGAAGAAAGCAATGTAAAAACTAAATTATAAATTAAATGTGAATATTATTATTGACTTTACAGAAAGAAGAGTCAGAAGAAAACATTGTGACCAACCAAATACTGACATATGCAAAAATACAACAAAATAAACAAATTCCTAGAACATGCAAATTTCTCAACTGTCTTTGAAAAGAAAAATCTACTTAATGAGTTAAAGAGACTAAATAATGCAAACCTTCCCAGCAAAGAAGAACCCAAAGCAAGCTGTCAGTTTAACAATTTTAAAGAAAAATTAATACCAATCCATCTATAACTTCCAAAAGAATATAATTTCTAACTCAGACTGAAACCAGCATTATTTTGATATCAAACATTATGAGTAAATAAAACACAAACCAGTATCCCTTATAAATATAGAAACATAATTCTTTCAGAAATATTAGTAAATTCAATCTAAAAGGATTATACCTTAAAACCAACTAGGTTTTCTCCAAGAAATGCAAGAAATTCCCATTAACAAAAGCAACAACAGATCAATGCAATATGTGATAGTAATAGAAAAAGGCAAGGAAACAATCAGATGCTCATCTCAGCTGACAGAATATTCAACAAACTTTCAGGATTAAAAATGGCAGATCACTAAGGTGGGAAGGGAATTATAAAGGAAAATTGTGGAAAACCTGTAGTTCACATAAAACTAAGTAATGAAAGACTTTAAAAATCTTTCTTTGAGGATGTGAAACAAGATAACAATGTCAGCAATCACTTAATCTAGCGGTATACTGGGAGTACTAGTCATAGAACTCAAACAAGAAAAATAAATAAAAGTCTTCTCTCTTAGAAAGGGAGAAATAAACTCTGTGTGTTTGTGTGTGTGTGTGTGTGTGTGTGTGTGTGTGTGTGTATACACACATATATTCAGGAAGGAACCACATATCAAGAACTACTAGAGTTAATTTTTAATGGCTTTCTTTCTGGAAGTACAAAAACACCAACCCTGAAGTTCATGTAGAATTTTACCTGTTCCTGAATAGTCAAACCAATATTCAATTTAAAACACAAAATTTGAGAATTTATTTCTATTTCAAATCATTGTATTTAGTTGTGATAGTCAAATCAGGACAAAACTGACATAGAGATGTTGGATTAATAAAATATTATTTAGTATCCATAAATATTTCCATAAACTCTGTTGAGTTTTCAACAAATGTGACAACACCATTTGGCAAGAAAAAAGTAGCTTCTTCAACAATGGCTCTGGGAAAATTGGATATTCATATATGAAAAAGTAACACTGAATCCCACTTCTTCCCATGTGCAAAAATTAATGCAAAATAGATTCATGGCCTAAATGTATGCACTAAAAACATGAAACCCTTGGAAATAAATCATAGTCATGAAATTGTGATTTGGAATTTGTGAATTGAATCTTAGATGTAACCAAAAACACAAGCAACAACAAAACTTAATTAGTGACTTGCTGACAAGCATGAGGGCCTGAGTCAGGATCACCAGCACTTGCATAAATAGCTAGCCCTGTTGGCTTAGGAAATGGGAAAATTGCTGGGGCCAGCTGGCCAGTAGCCTAGCCCCCAACTCTCAAGCTTTAGGTTTAGTGAGAGAGTTTGTCTCGAGTAATAAAGGTGGAGGGTGAGGGATGAGAACACTCAGCATCCTTCTCTGACCTTCACACATGCACACACGGGCATATGTGCAAACACATGCATATAGCACATACGCACACAAGCACACACACATTAATTGGACTTCATCCACAATAAAAGTTTCAAGCACACATATTGTTTATTTTTTTTCCTCATTGTGACAAGCAAATGCCTGACAAGAATTAACCTAAGGGAGATAAGTTTCATTTGACTTATGACTTGGGAGGTGCAGACCATCATGGTGAGAAAGGCACTGCAGCATGTGACTCTATGGTAGCGGGAACAGGTAGCAGCTGCTTGGTCCTATCTCAATGGGTGAGTCTTCCTGCTTCAGTGAAGCCTCTGTGGAAGCACCCTCACAGATACACCAGAAGTGCATCTTCTAAGTATTCTAGATCCAGTTAGGTTGACAATGATTTCCTATCATGGCATTCCAGAGTGATGCTAAAATAACCAATACATGGGAATAAGATATTTATGAATCATATACAAGTGTTTCTTGACTTAGATATGGTAACCATCTGATGAATGCATTATGAGTTCAAACTTTTATAATTCATCTAATCTACCAAATACCAAGCTTATCAATACAGTACACTGTGGGATATGTGTGGTTTACTCCTGGCTTCACAAGGTTCACTGGGATCAGTGGCTTTCTGCAGGTATATACAGCATTATAAGAAAGTATTACAATATGTACTATCAGCCCAGAGAGAAGATTCAAATTCAAAATTGGAAATGTAGATTCTATTTGATTTGTATTACTTCAGTACTATGTTAAAGTTAAAAAAATTCATATCTCATACCATTGCAAATCTGTATCTGATAGTTTTTAATGTAGAATGAATTTTTAAATTTACAACAAAAAGACAAACAATGGAACTAAAAAGAGTTTAAAAGCTTAAGCAATTTCTCCAGTGAATATACACAACCTCCAACAAAAATATATAGATGATCAAGATCACTTGTCATTAAAGAAGTATAATTCAAACCCACTTCCCACCCACTAGCTGAAACCATATTTTTTAAAGTGCTGGAGAGGATGTAGATATCCACGCATTTTAGCATCTATCAAAGTAGAGACACAATGTAGCTAAAGCTCAGTTTGTCTGTGGAGTCAATAGGTCTAAATATTTTTTAGTTTATGTCCCTTTGGCAATCATATGGAACAATTCATGCCACTGTGCATACTCCTGCTTCATGCTAAGAATTCAATGATATGAATCTACCATGTACATTGATTTATTTTCATGAGCATTTTTTTGTGGTTGAGACTATTGTGAAAAGGTACATTCTTGTTCCTGTCTTTCAGTATATGTGCACCTATATTACTATGAGATATAAACTCAGAAGTAAAAGTGCTTTCATAAAATAGATATGTCCAGATTAATAGATACTATCAGCTTATCAAAGTAGTTGCTATAGGTTGAACATCCCCCAAAGGTCTTATTAGCAGTGAGGGAGAGAACTAAACAGGAAATGTTTATGAGGTCGGGTGGGCCTCCCACTTTCATGAATAGATTGATGCCTTTGACACTATAATTGCTTCACTGTGAAAGAAGAGTTTCTTAGAAAGGGAGTATGGCTTCCTTCTTTCTCTACTTCATGCCCTCTCTTAATTTTCCACCTTGCACTCTTGGATAATGCAGCAAGAAGACCTTCATTAGATTCTGACCTCTTGATCTTGAACTTCCTAACCTCCAAAACCTTGAGTCAATAGACCTATGTTCATTAGTAGTTAGTCTATGATATTTAGCTATAACAAAACAAAATGCATTAAGGAACTGGTTGTATATATTTATACTTTTAGATACAGCAAAGAAAGAATTTCTCCAATACGTGGCATTGACAGTCTTTAATTTAGTTTGCTCTGGTGGGCGTACATTACATCTCTTTGTGATTTCAACTAATATATTTACCTGATGACCAGCAAACTACTTTTTCATTTTAAAATTATTTTCCATTAAGAGTTTAAATATTCCTATTGATTCCACATGCTTCATTATTTTCAGAGTGTGGTGATTTATCATACTGTGATTTTTATCATTTATATGCTTTGAATACTTTCTCAACGCTTATGATTTGTGCTTTTATTTCATTAGGCAAAGGTCTTTTTTATCTGGTCTTTTTGAGGCAGTGTCTCCCTGTAACTCCAGCTCACCTGGAACTCGCTATGTAGACCAGGCTGGCCTCGAACTCACAAAGATCCACGTGCCTCTGCCTCTGGAGTGCTGGGAATAAGGCATGTGCCACCACGCCTGGCAGGTCCTTAATTTTTATAATATATTATGCATTTTTCTTTTTATAATTAATGTTTCAAGGTATATTAGTGATAATAAATTCAAGAAGTGTTCATCTAACATACACCTGAATTCTTTATTGTTTCACTCTTAGAGTCAAACTCCAATCGAAATTATTTTTATATGGAATGAAGTAAAGATTGAGTCATTTTATACTTTATGGCTATTTACCACCATCAAGTCTAAGCATTATATTTTGTACTTGAAGGATCATTAAATATGTGTCCATTTAACCATGGCTGTTTTTCCAAATTTTAAAAAATATGTTTCATTATTCTGTTTTCCCATCATTGATCAAAACTACTTCTAGAAAATTTCTTACAGCTTTTACTTTTATGTTTAATATTGCTAAGTAGAGAAATACTCTTGGGCCCCTGTACCTCAAGATAAGTCACATATACTTGACCATTTTAATTCCCGGCACACTAACCTTTCATCTACATGTTTTATCAGTTACTGAGAGATGCACAAAATTCCCTATTGTCTTTATATATTTACATATAGTTCCTTTTAGTTTTATTACATTTGATTTAAATCTTTCTAAGATCACTTGTTGGTATTCAGGCAAAGATCAAGTATAGTTTCTGTTTTTATCAGATTAATATCTGAAATGTCCTCTATCTGAGGACAATATAATACATGGAGTTTTTTTATAGTACACAGAATAGAAGCTTGCTCTGTCTGTTCCACACATAGGCTTGATATTGCAGAACCTCCAGGAATGGAGCACCACCATGGGTATTATTAGTTTGTCTATAAAAAGAACATATATAAGTAGTATATAAGTGTTGTTTTACGTGTATTGTGCCCATTTGGACCTGCAAACTTCTGTTTTATTCAGTTCTTGAGCATTGTGTGTTAGATTTTTTCTAGGAAGTCCTTTCTTGTCTAACCAGAAGTGGCTGGTATGTAAACAGTGCGAGCTATCCATGATAGTCAAGTTAGGGTGAGTCTTCTTAAGAGTTCTCTTCTTAAGCTTCCGTTCTATATAGTAGGTCAACTCTACTGGATGTACCAAAATATAAGGCAAGTGAGGTCAAATAAATAACTCTTTCTAAGGTTGTGTTATTGGACATTTACAAACATAATTAAATGATAAATTTTTAACATTTTCATTAATAAAATCTGTCTTCATATATTTATTTTAATTGAATGCCCATTTTCTTATGTTAATATATCTAAACAATTTTCTTTTTTGTTTTTACAAGAATATAAGCATGCATATTTGTTCTACCTACATTCTAATATTTAATTTGAATTATTTCTAATTGTCATAAATTTACCAGCCTATGCTGATGCCTTTTATTGACTGTGATATTTAAACCATAGTTATTTAAGAATTAATATCATGGAAAGAAATTTTTACCCTCATAAATAGATAGTAAGGATGAATGTATAATGGTATTATCTCTGAGAAAAAACTTTACTAACAGTTTAAATTTTTTTTTCAGTTCTGGGTCACAAACTCCTCAAAAACCAAACATATAATTATCATATGACCCAGTAATTCATTTAGCTATATATCCAAAAGAACTGAAAATAATGCCTTAGTCTGTTTCTGTTGCTATAACAAAATGCTGTAAACTGGTAATTTATAAACTATAAAAATTCAGATATCTCCTTCCTGGAGGCTAAGAATGTACCAGCAGATTCTATCCATATAGTATTTTCTCTCTGTTTCCAAGGTGACATATTCTTGATGCGTGTTCACGTGACGGAAGAGAGGACTATCTTAACCCTAAATGGCTGACGTGTGGATGGAAGAAAAGAACTTCAAGCTGTGGAAAGCTGCTTTTATAGTTGCATTCACACAGGAGGAAATTATGACAATTCTTTCTAGAGGCCTCATCTATTAAACTTTTGCATCGAGGATTTAATTCAAACACGAATTTTGTAGAAACAAAGGTTCCAGTCATAACACTAGCATATTCAAATAGATCCTTATACATCAATGTTTATTGCAATATTATTTAGATAGTTATTGAAACAATCTAAATTTCCAACAATAGATGAAAAATATCAAAATATGGCATAAACATGCAAGTAATTTTTAGCTATAAAAATATATGTTCTGATATATACTGCAGCATGATTAAGTAAAACTTGAAAATCTCCTAAATCCATAATTGTCAGACACGAAACAGATTCAATTTATATGAAATTTCTAATAGACCAATTTACAAAAACAGAAAATTGACTAGAGGAACCTGGATTTGGAGCAAGCAGGTAACAAGTGGTCATTCATTAGTTCTTAAAGAGTTTCTGTCTGGAATGATGAAAGTGTTTGTAAATAGCTTCAGAATTTCTTTTTTATTTTGATTTAGAAATCATTTGTAAACTTGTCATTTTGACTATTTATTGTCTTCTCGATTTCAACAAACTTTTTTTAAATTTTCTAGAAGTTTGTTGAGCTTCTATTAAAGAACTCACTTGAATATTTTCAGGATTTTATGACTTTCCTTTTCTTCAGGTCAGCCACTGGGAGATGACCGCATCCTCTTGGTGAGGTTAGTCTTCTTTGTTTTCATGTTCTTAACGCCTCATGCTGATGTCTGAGCCTTTGAAAAGTAGTGGCTTCCCAGTCTTTGCAGACTGGCTTTCTCTGGGAAAACGCTCCATCCATCAGCCTATTCTGATTTTCCACAGACCATCTAGCATGGTGCAGAGATTGATTTACTGCTGGAGTCTTAACAAGTTAGTCTTTTGCTTGAGTAAGGTGAGTGAACCTGGAATCTGTATCTGCAGAACTAGGTCATAAGCTTAAAACCGCTGAAGTAGATCTGTTGATTGCATCTGCAGAAATGGTCCTGGATGTGGATAATTTGGACTATCCTGGATCCTGTAACTTCGGGGCCAGCCTGATGCCTAGGTCTACTAAGGCTCACTTGACACTCAGGTTGTTGGAGTTGACCCTGAGTCAGAAGAGGTTATCTAGGCACTTAGATGGGCCTGGCACATAGGATTTGGGTACATAGAGCCTTGCTTAGAGTCTGAATCTGCAGGTGTAATCTTGGAGAGAGTCATAGGATCTGCTTTTCACTGGGGTCTGATAATATGCACCTGAGCCCCCAGTCTGCTGGATACCTGGGTCCTCTGAACCCTGGAGCCACCAGTACTAATCTAGAGCATGAGTGTGCCCTACTGCTGAGGCCAACATGGATCTTGGTCTATAAAGTCCAAGGTAGCAGGCATTGAGAAGGGTTCAGGAGCCACTGGCTCTGAGCTGCAGTCTGGGCCAATGGGTATCTGCATGAAGCATGTGGCCAGTGGGGGTAGTATTGCAGCATTTTGAATGACATTAGAATTCTATACCCATAAATCATTAAAATGGCCAATTTTATGTTATACATGATGGGCCACAGTAAAAAATTCTTTAGCGAAATTAATTAAAGTAATCTTTAGCCAAAGAGCAATTGGCAGCTGACGGCTGCTGGGGCAAGGTGGCGGGGCGGATGTGGATGCTCCAAGATTTGATTCATTTGATTCAAAGAAAAATCTTTCCAGATTATTGAGCATCTTTAGCAGAACTATGTAGTAGAAAGCAAAAATTCATTTTAAACACATTTGTTTGCAGCATCATGAGAAAATAGAATTTATTATTTTATCAGTATGCTTATAAACTTAAATTTAGACAACTCTACTAAATTATTTCTGAAAGAATTTTAATTTTTTTATGCTTCTGAGTGTTTTGAGTGTATGTATATAAATGTATACAAAATATGTAAATGTCACGCAATGCCTAAGGAGTCCAGAAGAAGGCATCAGATCCTCTGGAACTGGACTTAAAGACAATTGTTAGCCACCATGTTGGTGCTGGGAACTGAACACAGGTCCCCTGCAAGAACAGCCAGTGCTCCAAACTGCTGGGATATCTCTCCAACTTCTCAAAAAGAATTTTTAACAACGTGGGTGGATTAACAAGGATCAGCCAAGATAATATAAACCAGCAACAGGAATTCCAAACTTGAGGAATTTAATGTGGACCATTGCCTTGGTGTTGAGTAGTGGAAGGTCACAGTGCCAAAAAAATCTCAGATTATTTCCTGTAAGGAGCCATCGCGATTGCATGAAAGGAAGCCAAAGGGAAGTGGGCTCAGCTCCTGTAGAACCTGCATGCAGACCTTTGAGGCAAAGCACCACAAAGCTGGTACAGAGCCAAGTGTAACCCTATTTATATGTCAAAATGCTCTTTCACATTGAACTTAAGTATAGTAAAAGTATAACAATTATTTCAACATAAGAAAAACAACAATGCCTTCAATGTGTTTGATGGAATGGGATTGATCTTCATATAAATGAAGGCATTTGCCTCTAATTGAACACTACAAACAAAAAAATAAAAGTTCAAATATCTTAGTTTAGTAACTAGTTTTTTTGATGTTAATACCCATTTGAATTCAACCATAATCTAACATGATGTAACAGAAAAACTAGACTTTAAAATTTATCACCCAAAAAAAGAAAAAAGGGATGAAAAATGATTAATAAATTAGGCATGTATGATAAAGCAAAAGGAAACATCCACTATGGCTAGACTAGTCATTTTTTGACATGACCACAGACTAATCTAATGGAGACAGTTCCTCAATTTAGATTCCCTCTTTCCAGATAGGTCTAAGTCTGTGTTGAGTCAACAGAAAGTAAGCAGCACAGTTACTAATTCAGTAGGACAACTATTTGTAATGTTTGTTTGTTTGTTTGTTTAATGTGTGAATTATTAAAATACAAAAATATAAAAATTTAGGAAATTAAGATGTTATGGTTATTGGAAGATTTCCAAACTAAAGATAGGATTTGGACTGAGAAACTAAAATTTTAGGAACAGGTAACAGTTTAGTCAAACTATTTGGGATCAGAAATCATTATGCATGTAAATCATAAATCACAAAACAATGTCAGTATCTGCAGATCTATCAATCCAGTCTTATTATTCAAGTTTATTCTTTAGTTTGGTTCATATAGTCATCAGCTACAAGGTTTTATTATAATACAATGAGCATAATCACACTGTGCCAGGATGTGTGTATCTGCATGGCACAGTATAGTGGTTTGGTGTAGAAAGATGATTTTCATTCTGTGGCGTACAAAAGGAAAGCAAGTGTTTATGAACATAGGAAGAATAGGAAAGCAAGGGGATTTTTCTCCAACATGCTAGTGAAATGAGAGGCAGTAGATTTGTTAGTTCAGTGATGTGAGAAATAGAAAATCGGTGTGATCTGACCTCAGAGGTTCTTTTACATATGAAAAGCCACATGCAAAACGTATATCTGAAATGGGAAGCATACGCAGGGTACAGCAGGGAGATTTGTTTCTATTTTTGCTTGCTTTATTTAAATTATTGTACTTTGATCATAAATATAATGTAATAGATAATACTATGTAAGAAGCCAGGAATACAGTGAAACATTAAATACAAAAGAATAAAAACGGGAATGACACATCCTTAAAATGATATTTATAAACTAAATGATGAACCACTTTTTCATAAAAATTTCCTGATAGACAAACCACTGACAAGTGTCTCATATAATTTTCCTTACCCTTATGGATGGAAGTCTTGGTCTGAATCCTTAAGAAATAGAAAACATTTCCCAACCCATCACCAAAAAAAAAAAAAAAGAGACAGATTCTATTAAAAGGTACACTTTGTGCCCACTGTAAAAGTAGCTATAGATTTAAAAAATTAATTAGCATTAATAATATGTAATTTTTAGAAATCAACATGCCATGTGTGT